GTTGATTATTGGCAGATTAAAGGAAAATAAACATAGGTCCTGTGCATAAACATTAAAGCATGAAACAACTTACTGTTCCGTCAATAATTGCTGACAGAGTTAGGTAATCAAATACATCAGTGCAATACCGCCAGGCATTAGCATTTCCATACTTCCGTTGGCACTCATCATAAAAACCATAAACCTGGAAAGACGAGATATCATAATTTCCGTTAAGACATACATATTATCTCAATATCCTCACATGGTTTGCATCACTTCCAAAGCAACTTAATTTTCACACGATAATCATGCGTATGAAACCAAATCAGAAAATTGAACAATCAATATAAACAAAAAAATTCTTCTTTTTTCCTTATTTATCATGATGTCAAACTGAAGTCATTCAAGTAGCAAGATAAAGCAATCCCTTGGGGTTTTGAAAGCAAACCAGCCAGCAACAGAAGTTACTGCAAAATATTCGTAACAATATGAGCTGAATGGAAGTTACAGCTTTCACAACCTCATTCTTTTGCTTGAGAGAGAAATTTAAATTTCTTAATTCATCACTAATGGATATGCTCAAACTTCTAATTAAAAACTAGCTATGTATTAACAGTACTATCTAATTGTATACATCTATACTATATATTAAGAAAAGCCTCTCTTTTGGTTTCTGTGAGCCACAATTTGAGAACGCCAAAAATGGCCTTATACTTAGAAGCAAAATAAAGAAATGGCCGCTCACACTAAAGGGGGGGGGGGGGGGAATTTCTGAAAATATCTAATCATTTATTCGCGCTTGAGAATTCGCGACTACTACACTTCTTCATGTTTTGTCTCATGCACACTAATTTGACTACTACACCCGCTCTTGCATGTTGCTATGTCGATGCACAGATCACACTGCATTGAGATACTAGTCACAATGAAAGGATCCCTCTTGCTGTTCAAAACTATAGGAAAGCACTTCAGAATAGGATAAAATTGCAACTTTCTAGCATCAACTTGATCACAACCTTTTTTCATTCAAGAAATACAGTTTTAAGTGGAAGAAAGAATGGGAGCCACATCATCCAGTGACCAAATCACAATTTCTGGCACCATATAAAAGCTTTAAAGAAGTAACCAATAGTAATTAGAGCACTATTTTGCATGTACAATTCTTGAATAAGAAAAGAAAAAGAGTATCAGACTGATAATTTCTGACAGAAGACTGAATAGACATTTGAGTTTGGGGACTGCCTGGAACTAAAGATAAAAAATTAGAATATCTAACAAGAGAGAAGTGCACAAGTTGCTAAAACTGTTAATGAAACTAATCAGTTGGTTAATTCAACTTAAAGTACGATTGTCACAGCTGACAGCCACGTACCTGTGTTAATTGCCTGCTTTCATGATTGCCTCGCAATAAAGTTATATTTGCAGGGTATCTAAAAAAATGAAGATAGGAAAATAAGCAAAGGTTATGCCAATCATTTTATAACCAAAAGCAGCCAGCAAGTAGAAGTTGCATATATGAAAAGCAAGTAAATGAATATTAAAAATTCAAACCTAAATATAGTTGGAATTGCAACCAAAGAAGTCAATTATAAAAGATGCAGATAAGAAATAGCCCAAAAAAAAGTACGATGTGATGATATGTTAATCCATAAATCATAAAGGATTATTGATAATGAAGGCTGAAAGCTTGAACTAGAGGCGTAAAAAGAAAAAAAAGACTTCTTCCGAGTACCACAACCATTGTCAAACTTACTACTGCCTATCCCTGTCCAGGCTCTCTTTCATTGGACCCTACTTCTTCCCAGCTCCTTTTCTTTCAAAAATCAATAAATTTATTTAAAAAAGTTGAAAGCAAAAGATCAAAATTTTTATAGCAATAGTATAAAAACACCAAGACTCCAGAATCATCATCTCCACCAATAGAATCACCCAAAAAAAAGTGAAATAAAATGGATAGGCATGTTTTTATCATCCATATCACAATCTCATCACGTAACAACAGAAGTCAAATAATAATACAGAAAATTATCCTGTGAAGGGAAACGTGGTAATCTGATTTAAGTAACCCAAAAACATTTACTTGTAAAATATAATATACAATATAATTACTTGATAATTTGAAGTCATTCCATAACATACACAAAATGGGCCAAATAAGAAAATTCAAAGTTACAATATATTTACTTGAAAATTTGAAGTCATGCCATACCATACACAAAAAGGACCAAATAAGAAAATTCAAAAAATTCACCACGCTTTCTCAATGGATCATCACAGTGAACTAGTATAGTTTTTAAGATAACATTTACTGATCTGATATTTGTTGCCCGGAAATAAACTGAGAATTTTCAGTTTAGTATAGGATAATCCATACATTGATTATATAATGTGCTTTAGTGTTTGCAATTGTGCGTACATGTCTACATGTTTATGGCTGCATGTCTGCATGTGTACATACATAATATGTATCGATGTATGTGTACATACATATATGCATACATATCTGTATGTATGTGTATAACAATACATACATATGTTCATCTAATATCTAATCTAATACTATCTAATATCTAATACTATTATAAAAGTGTGTAGGGGGAGTAAAAACATTTTTTCCGATAATGCCATCGAAATTGCATTAAAATGTACTATATTGTCCTCAAGTCACATTCCAATCTCAGTCAATTGACTCAAATCATCCATTACCATATTCCACACCAACAACGAAATTTGTTTTTGATGGAATTAATGAGCCACTGGATTGCATAGAACAGTTGCACCCTAAATAAATTGTTAGTGAAAATTTTTCAAGGATTATTGAATGTTTAGTGGTGGTTACAGTGGAGGCAATTCATCTATTCTCTTAATGCCCATTTATTCCCTCTTAATACCTCTTGTGACCTTCAATTTCCTTTCAATAACTCATGTCAATCCATCAATTTCCCAGAAATTTATCCTTTATAAATACCTCCTATCAATTGGCACACCTAATTTGATGAAATCGGATTAAGGTCCACAAAAATAAACATTCATATTAAAACCTCCACAAGTATATGCACTTATCGATTGGCATATGTAATCAGATGAAATCAGATTAAGGTACCACAAAATAAACATTCATATTAAAACCTCCACAAGTATATGCATGTAATCTGATGGCATCAGTTGAAGACAAGAAAGAGGCCCATCAAGCAGTGCTATTATCTGAAAGTTTAAAGGTCAAGTTATGAATCCCTCTGTCTTTTTGCAATGCTTTATATTTGTAGGAATATATATTTATAATGTGTTGCGTTTTGATTTAGATTGCTTGTAATTGTTTGCTAATTTCTTCAATCTTTTGTATATGACACTTGATAAGTACATGGAGAGAGCTAAAGGAAGGTTGGTTAATGTTCTAGAAATGCTCGAGCTTCATATTAGCATGTTTAGAGCCAAGGAGCAGAAGAAGACTGGATTATGATTCAAGGTATATCTTGTTCTAAATGTATGGATGTTATTCGCATCCTAATTTTCATTTGAAATCATATGCTGTTGTTGAATTGTATTAGTTCTAGATAGGGTTTATTTAACTTGCATTCAAGTTGTCTGTGATAATGTCTTGGATATCCATAATACTAAAGATCTTGATGAAAATTGACAAAAATTCAGTTTTTGTATTGTACTAATGATTTGAATAAACATACTGAAAAAGCATATATACTGTGAGAATGAACCTGTTCCTAGCTCTATAAAATGTGGAGCTCTCACGCAGTCTTGAAGTTTTCCAGTATAACATTTATATTCATTTTTAAGAATTTAGTGATTTGCAGATCACCATGACCCTCTCAAGGCATCAAAACTAATTTTGGAAAATTGAGATGCTGGAGATTGTTGAATATATATGTTGATTTTAAGCTCATGATTGAGGAATTTGTATTTTCAGATCAGTTAAAAGTTTGGTGACCTGATGAAATGGATTATGCTGCGCTGAGAGTTTTCTTCTATTTTTTTGTATCTCTTGAAATTTATTTCATTTGATCCAAGTTTATGATTTCTTATTGTTCTTTATTTAAATTGGTTGTACATTTGCTTTTTGTTGGATAAATAAACTTGATTGCATGTTATTATGTCAAGTTATAAATCAGAATCTTCTAAAGTTGTATTTCACCTTGTGATGATGCGTTACAATGTCAAGTTGTAAATTTTATAAGGCCGTATCTCAACTTCTGCTCTTGATTATTGTGAGCTGATTACTATAGGTAAAACATATAAAATTAAATTATTTATATCTTTGCATTTTATTTGTTTACTTTATATGCAATTTTAAAAATATTCAATTATATATATAATAACTCCTACCAAAAAAATAGCTCCCTAAGAAGAGAGACGAAATATACTTCCACACTCACTCACTACTATTAATACTATTGTAAGACACCCACTGATGTTGAAGATTGAGATATTTACATACAAAAAGCTGATCAAGATTGAGAAATGGAGCTTTCTAAATGGAGAAGAATGAAAAACATGAAAAAGTATTAAATCTGAAAGCATAAAACAATTATTAAACCATATAAAATGGGGGAGATTGATATGTCACCGAGTTCAAAATTTTGATAGGGTTTAATTTTAATTGATTTTATATGTTTTGCTTATAGTGACATTATACAATAACATTGATTATATGGTTTAAATAATAACTATCTTCTATATTTGATTGAACCTTTCATATTCTTATATTCTTCTTCATTAAAAATAGAATTTTGTATTAGATGTGAAAATTTTTAATTTTAATTATTAAATCCTATAATCAATATTTTAAACTTATTACATAAAAAACTCCAAACGTATAACAAGTATGTCCACGTTTTTAACATTTCTTACATAATCGATTTTAATTATTTTCTTACATAATCAAACATAGAAGTTTTTATTCTTTTGATTAAGCCCTATAATTAATGTTTTAAACTTATTACATAAAAACTTAGACTTTGAAACAAGTACGTCCACGTGCAACGCATGTGCATTATACTACTATATACAAATATGTATAATTAATAATGTATCTACGAATGTACACTGTATACATACATGTGTTTATAGACATATATGTATACACATACATATACATGAGTAAATGGGGTCTGGCATGTCATGTCGTGGCACATATCAGGCCAACAACTATGATATTGATATGTTGATGATATGGGCTATAGGGATTTGGATGTGCACCACGCCCAGCACAAGGTTGTGAAAGCAAAAACCAGAGCGAAGCGATAAGGTTCCGTGACCTTTTCGGGCTTAAGCAGGGTTTTAAAGTTCCCAAAAATAAGATAAAATAGTACAAAACCTAAGAATTACAAAACAAGCAAAAAAAGGAGGGAAAAAAATTCTACAAATGTATACGTGATTATTTATAGCGATCTTAAGCATGAAGTAGATGTGTAATAATACTTACATTAAATCATGTAATATTGTTAAATAATAAACACGTTGTGATGTGATATACTACCATAGTTTGATATGCACATCAAACTGTCAACAAATTAATGTTAATCATCAAAGAAAGAAGATGTACTTAAGTAAAATACAATCATCATTATATTACTCCAAGTTTCTTTCAAACTTCAGTTAGAATCATCTCAAGAAAAGGGGAAATAGACCATGTAAACATGGGGAAAAAAACACAGAAAGCGCTTTTGGGAGCGCCTTTCAGAGACAAAAGCAGCCCAGATGGTTAATAGGCCCGCTTTCAGCCTTAGTGGAGTGGCAGGGAGCTGTTTTCGCATTTTTAGCACTTTTGAACGCTTTTCCCCTCATTCTACAACATTGATCTAGCAACATGCCAACTAAGTACTTGGAGAAACACACCATCACTTGTCTACTCTGCAAGCTTCACACACGCTGCCACGCACATACACACACACACACGCATATGCAAACATATAAACATCCATTGTCCAAATATTTCGTATGATCTTCATTTATAATTATAACCAAAAAATAAGAAGTTGAAAAATATTTGTTAAGGGTTCATAAACAGCCATTGTTTGATTATGAATACATGTAATCCATCAGGCTATAGTTCAGCCCAAATGTTGCACATTCTATCATACTGAATATATCACAAGTATCTATAGATATGCAAGAACATCAACAACTTGTATTATACGACAATATCCAATGCCCACGATGTATGATGGAGACTTATGATACTCGATCTGTGCTCCACTTCCGACACGTGTCGATTGAAAGAGGTTGAACAATGATGAATAATGATAATCAACATGTAACCAATGCCTCGGAATATTACATGAATACTCTCGGAATATTACATGAATACTCATACACAGACATTAGTACTTATTTTTTATGTACGCTTAGCATGTTACGAGTGCTTGTATATGCCTGTTTCCATATTTTAACGATTTAACTAAAAAGTAATATATGAAGATAAAAGAAAATTTAAACATATCCATAAGAATCCTAGTGATCACACTCAGAGAAGGCTGATAAAAATAATGTCACCTCATTCATGTCATTTTTCTATCCTCTGCATACAGTGTTATTGTCTTCATTTTAAACATATTTTAGATCATAGTTTCACTGTATAAAGGAATTTATTTGTCATAAAAACTGGAGACAAGGAAATAGAAAGAAGAAAATGTTGCCAGGCATCAATTTATCTGCCATAAAAACTGGAGACAAGGATATGCCTGGTTTAAGATCCCAATGCACAACACAAACACATGCTTTTGTTGCAAATACTAAATACTTCTATCAATTGCTCAAAATAATACAAACGGCACAAAAGCAACAAAAAAAAAGAAAAAAAAGAAAGGCATATTTAACTAATACCTTGCTTTAAGGAGCAATAAGATAGTAAAAACTTCCAAGCTATTGTATCCCCGATCAACGAAATCACCCTGGCAGTAGTTCATGGAACAACCATATTACAGTAAACCATGTTATGGCTTTGCTGGGAAAAACTAATCATAACTGGTTCAACATGCTTTATGAGTGAGAAATTTACCATAAATATGTAATTAGTCTCAGGAACATGACCTCCAGTCTGGAAAAGTTTCATTAGGTCATGAAACTGACCATGGATATCACCACAAACAGTTACAGGGCTATTGACCGGCTGGACATTTGACTCTTCAATTAAAATATCCTTCACCTGGAAGTTTTAAAATAAGAGTTCAAAAAAAATGTATGCAGTGAACTTCACGTGAGGTAGAAAAATTCACAAATCAGTGGCAGCAGCTAAAGAAGTAATGAGACCTAGATAATAGATGAGAAAACAGAAAAAGATGACAGGGAAATTGATAGATAAAATTTCCCATGATATAATGCAGAAAACATGCATTCAGCAGATCCTCTTTTATGAAGTCTGAAATATAACTAAAAACATCATTTTAGCTCACCATGGCAAAATGTATGAAATTATTTCAGGTGATTGTTACAACAGACTCTATTCTACATAAAACACATGTATACTGTTGAATGTTCAGAATATTGATATGCCAGCCCCATTCTAGATTGCCAAACGACATCCAACAACCTAAAATACCTAATGCATAAACTATGAAGAGGAATTCTCCAAAGAAAGGATAATATTAAATAACTTAGGTAGAGCTGACTCGTCATCCTATGATGTTTGTTTCTGACAATTTTGACATCCACAAACCTCAGTGGGTGTCAAAGAAGAAAGCTTCTTCATAACCAACTAAAGTTATATAGGTGCAAAGAAATCTGCCAACATAACACATAGATGGCAGAAAAATGCAAGGACAGAGTGCAAAAGTATCAAAAAGCTCCCATCTGACCATAGAGGCAAGGTTTTAGATGGCGGCCGACATGTTGGACGTTGTGACCAACATATGTCGGTTTGGGAGCTCCAACGCCACGATATCACGATATCATGCTTCCGATGTTGTATGGCATTTTGAGGGAAAATATCAGGATATGTTGGGTATGTTGGGACATGTCAGACATATCGACCGATATGTCGATCTCCAAATATTGGCAGATATGCTAATTTTTCAAGACCTTGCTCTTTTGAGCGTAGGTTTAAAACCCACCCAAACCTCATCCAATTGTTATGTTCCCAATTAAAGAATCCAGTAGAAAAGTCTAGGGCAAAATTGTGCCCTAAAAATAAACTGCTCCGATCCTTTTCATTTGCTTCCTCTCTAAACGAAATCGATTGAGTGTTCGACACTAAATTTTCAACATCGATTTGAGGTTTCGATGATGAAGAGTTTTAGGGTCTCCCTCCCTCCCTCATTCTATCTCTCTTTGTGTCTCTTCTCTTTATTCTCTATCATTCTATCTCTCTCTTGCTCAGTGCTCACTTTCTCTTGAAATCGAGAAGCATATTTTGAGAATCAGTTAGTGATCCTAAACATCATATGTTATTTGCATATTGTATGTTTAGACTATATAATTTATTAAGTATGTTTAGGTTACATTTAGGACATTATATTATATATGCACACCACATGATATGACAATCTGGTATGTACTACATATCCCCGATAATTTCCTGATTTCCGCAATTTGACATAGAATTAAGCTATCCGACATGTCTCCAACATCCAACACTTAAAACCTTGAATATAGGTACAGAAACACTCTTCAGATGCCTTATGGCTAAAGAGATCTCAAGTTCACTTATGACATAGAATTCTGTAGCTTATGGCGTAGAGATTCCAAAGGAGATTGTTTTCTCATTAAATTGTGCGTTGGGTTAGAAGGTATAATTTGCACAATTTTCTAAATCTAGTACATGTATTAGAATACTTAATTTCTTTCAAAATCTTTTGTGTGTCAAACATGTATTAGAATACATGTATTAGAATACTTAATTTCTTTCAAAATCTTTTGTGTCAAACATGTATTAGAATACATGTATTAGAATACTTAATTTACATGAAACATAACGTTGTTGTACTTAGAAAAAGGGTCAAGGTAAACATATAAAAAAATCTAAATAAGACCACCAAGAGAGGAGTAGAAACGAGAAGTACTAAATAAGACCAATAGGTTCCATTTACCATGTTCTGATATACAAACAACCAGAGTAAAGAGAGTTACAGCTCACTAATATTGGTACATGCACACACATATCCGCGACCTCATGTCCTGCTTTTCAAAATTTGTTGCATCATATACTTTAGAACATTTGAACCCTCAACTCAACATAACAACTCTCAGTATTGTTTGCAAATTGGTGGAGGATAAATATTGTATAGATGTATCTGGTATATTCTTCACACTACAAGAATGAAGAAATGTACTATCACGAGTTTTGCCAAAAGCTTTATAACCTTCCATAAATCCTCTACTAGTCTAAGATCCATGAAATAGAGCAAAACAGCCAAACATCTAGTGCAATTAAGAAACATATCAAAGACGAGATGTTTTTTAATTTATACTCATCTAGTGCAATTAAGAAATGAGTGCATCCGTAGTAAATTAGAAGTTGCTCATATAGAGGATAAAATGAGAGAGAAACAACTAAGATGGTATGGCCATGTACAACGTAGACCTCTTAGTGCACCAGTTAGAAGTGATAATATTATAGTTAATGGAACAAAAAGATCTAGAGGTAGACCTAGAAAGACTGGGTTGGAAGTAATCAAGAAGGATATGATTATGGTTAGTTTAAGAGAGGAGATGGTCCATAATAGAACAGAATGGAAGTATAAGATTCACGTAGCTGACCCCAAACACATGGGATAGAGACTTTGTTATTGTTGTTGATGTGATGCAAATCCTCTAATGTGATATTTTGGAACATGAATATTGTTTAGGTATGGGAAGCTTGATCATGAAGGGTCAATAGAATTGGGATTCCTTTGGTCTCTAATAAACGCGTTGACATTTTGAAGATGTCAATCTTCGGCAATTACCTAACATGAAAAGTGTGGATCATCGATAACTACCTCAAAGATGAGAAGAGATAAAGTTCAAAGTCTCAACTGCAAAGGTGATCAAGAGGGCATAAAAGAAAATTTACAACGCTCCAAAATTGAAGGTTTCAAAGAAAGCAGGAATAAAATACAAACATTATTCAAGGCAATATAGGAAGAACTTAAGCGTGGAAGTAATCTAGGGGATGATTATAACAAAGAAAGCAGGAATAAAATACAAACATTATTCAAGGCAATATAGGAAGAACTTAAGCATGGAAGTAATCTAGGGGATGATTATGATGAGTATGGTAATAAATTTTACAAGGTTTGTGATAAAAGTGGATGAACTATGAAGGCTAATAAATTCACAAAACTATTGATACTTTATCAGTTAATTTGATACAAGAGACCAACCATAAAAGTTGATGGCAGATACCAACCTAAACTATGTGATAGATAATGTGTAAAAAAAAATATCAAGGTTGTTCTCAATGTGTGTATCACTTAGTAAAAGCAATTATTTTTCTTGTAGTTTCCAGAACTATTAAAGTCAACCAAAATGGTGACATTCTTGAATGGAAAGAAAAGTAAAGTATACTGATGTAACTGCCAAAGTTTTAAATGTCGGCCGACATATCGGTTTGAGAGCTTGACCGACACAACATGAACGTTTTCAACTCGTATGTCGGTTTTCAAGGCCAAATCGGAAATATCAGGTCATATCGGGCATATCCGCCTATTTTTTAGCTTTGAAAAATCGGCCGATATGGTACTTTTTTTTTAAGATCTGTTTTTTGTTATCAGGTTTGGGTTTAGTGATAAATACCCAAACCCGTTTGACCCGTTCTCATGTTTAAGGGTTTCTTATGAACCCGATAGAAAGAATTTATGAACCCAAATCCATATATTATTTACTTTTTTATATGTCTAGTCTATAGAATTTATAAAGTATGCTTATATTGAATTTATGAATGCTTAGATTATATTTAGGACATTATTATACATATGCGTATTACCCGATATGACAATCCGATATTTAGTCAATGTCCCCTGATATATCCCCGATTTTTACTATCCGACATGAATTTCAGCCATTCGACATAAACCCGACATCCGACATTTAAAACCTTGGACTAACTACGTCACATCTGCTAAGTGCTAACCTCTATGCAGTCTATCATTTAGTTGCCTACTTTGTTCATAAGAATGATGTCAAATTCCAAAAAAAAAAACATTGATACATGAATTATATGGATGTCAAATTATAGAAATAGCCCTAGCGAACAAGCATGGAAGTAATCTAGGGGATGATTATGATGAGTATGGTAATAAATTTTACAAGGTTTGTGATAAAAGTGGATGAACTATGAAGGCTAATAAATTCACAAAACTATTGATACTTTATCAGTTAATTTGATACAAGAGACCAACCATAAAAGTTGATGGCAGATACCAACCTAAACTATGTGATAGATAATGTGTAAAAAAAAATATCAAGGTTGTTCTCAATGTGTGTATCACTTAGTAAAAGCAATTATTTTTCTTGTAGTTTCCAGAACTATTAAAGTCAACCAAAATGGTGACATTCTTGAATGGAAAGAAAAGTAAAGTATACTGATGTAACTGCCAAAGTTTTAAATGTCGGCCGACATATCGGTTTGAGAGCTTGACCGACACAACATGAACGTTTTCAACTCGTATGTCGGTTTTCAAGGCCAAATCGGAAATATCAGGTCATATCGGGCATATCCGCCTATTTTTTAGCTTTGAAAAATCGGCCGATATGGTACTTTTTTTTTAAGATCTGTTTTTTGTTATCAGGTTTGGGTTTAGTGATAAATACCCAAACCCGTTTGACCCGTTCTCATGTTTAAGGGTTTCTTATGAACCCGATAGAAAGAATTTATGAACCCAAATCCATATATTATTTACTTTTTTATATGTCTAGTCTATAGAATTTATAAAGTATGCTTATATTGAATTTATGAATGCTTAGATTATATTTAGGACATTATTATACATATGCGTATTACCCGATATGACAATCCGATATTTAGTCAATGTCCCCTGATATATCCCCGATTTTTACTATCCGACATGAATTTCAGCCATTCGACATAAACCCGACATCCGACATTTAAAACCTTGGACTAACTACGTCACATCTGCTAAGTGCTAACCTCTATGCAGTCTATCATTTAGTTGCCTACTTTGTTCATAAGAATGATGTCAAATTCCAAAAAAAAAAACATTGATACATGAATTATATGGATGTCAAATTATAGAAATAGCCCTAGCGAACATAGTACTAGTGGACGTTGAGTAAAAAGATCAAAGGAAAAACTATGTCTATTTGTTGACCTTAATTAAAAAAAATATTTTTACATCCTTTTGTAGTTGCTTTTAATTCTTAGGGTTGCATTGTATGTAGTTAGTAAGAATTCACCATAGTGATTTGAGCATTTTAATTTGAGCGCACACCTGAAAATATTTTTAAGGGCAAAAATTCCAAATCAATATAAGATGAATGATTTCATCACCCTTTCCTTCGCCCAAAAATCACTAATTCATCACTACACACACCCAAGTCCTTTCATTAGACGTTGGCCTCTAAGAATTCGAGCTCAATAGGAACAAATAATTCTTAGATGAACCGGTTTAAGTTTATTTAACTTTGTTGGTGTCTAAGGCAAGATTTAGGGGGTTGCATAAGACACTCCGCAAGAAAAGAAGTACTTTGTTGGTTCTTGACCTCCCTTTAGTACTATTCTTACTTGGTTAACTGATCAGTTGAGTTTAAGCTTAACCCTAGAATTAAGGGTGATTGTTTCAAATGGTTTATATTGATTTGTTTGGTTCCGTTTGGATACCATGGTGTTTTACTTGTTTCCATGGTATTTTTATCAAAAATAAAACACCATGAGTTTGAATACCATGATGTTTTTTGAGCTAAATCATCCTCAAACTAAAAACACAACACTTATTTCAAAACACATTTTAGATGTTTTAAGTTTGGTGTTTTGGTTTTGAGTTTGAGAAGTTGTTAATATAATATCTAACATAATATATTAAGTGTAATTAATATAGAGTTATTATCAACATGCTTATTATATTATACTATACTATACTATATTATAGTTAATTTAACATATTAGTAATATTTATTAAATAATATAAAATACAATAAATAAAATATCTTATATAATAATATAATAACATATTAAATACCAATATTTAATATGTTAATAATATATTATATAATAAATAAATAATAATAAAATATAAATAAACTAATAAAAAATAAAAAAAGTTATTGATAATAAACAATAATATAATAACGATATAATAATATACTATACAATAGTATAGTCGCTATAATATTATTAATTTTTTAATAAATAAATTGTAATAAATTAATAATTATAAAATATTATATAATAGTAACATATTTAATAATAAAATAATATTATAATAATATATTGTATAGTAAATATAATATAATGTATAAAATATTAATATATTATATAATAAATAATATAATTTATTATATAGTAAAATAATTTCTAATAATAAAATAATTTATTGCTAACAAATGTTAATGTAAAAATAATATATTCATAATATAATAATATTTATTAATATCATAAATACTATAATAATATTAATATAATATATAACAATAATAAATTGATATACCAAAATAATTAAATATATAATTATTTGAAAATAATATGTAATAATTATAATATAATTTAACTCATTAAAGTACAATATAATATTATAATACATTATATAATATTATATTGCATTACATTTAATACTTATAATACTATAATAATGTAAACTAAATATTATTATATTTTATTTATAATATATTTATTATAATTAATATATAACATACTAATAATATGTTTAATACTAATGTTATAATGGGTCAAACTAGTATTGACCAAAAATACTTAACATGGTGTTTTGAAAACATTTTAAGCTAAAAACACAACACCATGATGCTTTTTTATAAAAACACAACAAGAAAAACACCATAGCATCCAAACGAAGCTAGTTAGGTTTTTCTTTTTCTTTTATCCTTCTTCTTCTCTCTCACTAATCTTTTATATATTTTAGTTTTTCCCTTTTTATAAAAATAATATAAAAAGAAATAAAAATTAGTTAACATTTATTTTTCTTGTTAGATATTTTTCTTAATTATTTTTAGTGATTTTAAAAAAATCAAAGAATTTTCTTTGGCATATACAAGTTTAGATTAGGAATAATACCAATCGCTTAATCCGTGTTATTCTACTAAGAATACAATCTCATCTTCTATTAGACTTCCTCAAGTTAATGGCGGAAATTATGAGCTTAGACCTCACTTCATCAACATGCTTCCAAAATTCTTAGGAAATGAATCCAAAAATGCATACATTTTTATATCCGATAAAACAGTGGTACCGTGTGCAGTTCATAAAGGCCCTATCATGTATTAAATATCAACAGGTTCCATACGGACACTTGTAACTCCTAAACAGTTTAGACAAAGCTTCTTTATAGATATTAAACTCAATTACAAAAAACACTTAAACCAAGAGGAGCTTTGGCAATTTAACAATCAATACATAAATCTGAGTATCCACAGTTCATGTGAATTAACGAGCACATAAGCTTCTTCCAAGAGAAACTTTAACAACACAAGTGAACCAATTACTGCTCAAATCAATTCAGGGCAACCAACAAGTTGATTCCTTTTCTTCTTTCATCAACTCCAAACCTCAGAACTGTGGTCTTCCTATACTATAGAAATCACACAAATAACAGATCCAGATTCAAGAAAAATACCAAAAGAAGTTTGCAAGCAAAGCCTAGGGCAAAAGGACGCGCCATTTCACAAAACCCTAGCCCTAATTTGAATCCAGCACTAAGCTAAAAGATATGCATAATTGCAATTAGAGCATAGATTACGTATTCGCAGAGGATTTGGAGCTCGTCCTCCATTAGATGCTGCCCTTCCTTCACCTTCGAAATCCACAGATCCAAATCCATGGCCGCCAACGCCTTCGCTTGATTCAGGAGAGAGAGAAAGAGACGGAGGTATAGAGAGAGAGAGAAGGTTTATCTTTCTTCTGTATGCCCCCACCTAACAATATTTGAGATCAACCCTTTAGTTTAGATATTTGTTATTTACTCCAAACTTAACAATGTTAAAATATCATGAAGTATTTATTTATTAACATAACTTTCGGAATGTAATTTGAGATCAACCCTTTAAGTTTAGATATTTGTTATTTACTCCAAACTTAACATTGTTAAAATATCATGAAGTATTTATTTATTAACATAACTTTCGGAATGTATTAATTCAATGTGATAGAACTGGATGATAAATCAGCAAATATCCAAATTTGGAAGGGTGTCATTAGTTTTTGAACAAAATGAAATTTGATCTTGATGTGACTATGGTGAGATCCTTTGTCGTTGATATAACAGATCTGTTGCAACGGGCGGAAGGAGAAAATTTCAGAGAAACAACAAGCAGAAGAACTAAAAAATATCCTGAAATTATTTCTCAACATAACTTTTGTGGTATTTTAATTCGATGTGGTAGAATTGGGATTAAATCAGAAATATTACGAGGTTTCTGATATCTTTCTTATCACACAGTTGATGAAAATATCACACTAGCAACAACAGCAAGTGAAATGATTTCTTAATGCAAACAACTAGAAGTTCAGAGTTTATGAAGTCTCTATGTGCTCCTATACAGCAATAAAGCACGTACAGATAACAATTGTAGTCACATAGTTTTTCTGGCTTTTATTTTTTTGATTCTCCAAACTTTTATCTTGAATGCTCCAAAGCTGTCCCTCCATCTTAATTGTTTCAGGTATTGAGCTGTTGGAATTTGCATACTCGCATTAACTGAGTATGTTTGGTAACTAAAGTGTTTTTTTGGTTGTGTTTTTTTTAAAAAACACCATGTCATAGTGTTTATTTTCAAAAGTGTTTTCAAAACATCATTTTAAAAGTTAGCATATGATACACACCCAACCAATTAAACCTTACTCTCGTCCGTTGTCGCTCCCCACCACCAACCACTTGTCGGCCGTCAGTCGTCATCGGGACGGCCAACCACCATTTGGGGGGGCTTTTTTCAATGCCTATAATTCAAATTTTAAAAAAATTTCTAATACGTCACCACCATCATGAAACAATGATGAATAATTGTTCAACATGTTCTAATGACATTGATAATATATATACATTAGGCTCAAAATGTATTTTACTGACATTATAATATTATATACATTAATTTCAAAACACATCCCGATATTACCCACCACGATCAATTCCACATCCTTTGGGCCAAACGATCTCAAAACCTTGACATCTCATGAAGGTGCTCTGGGCCAACATTGACCGATATGGTTTGTTGTTGTTATGCAGTCATATCATCTTCTTCAAGCTTCACATCTTCATTTTCAAACTCGATGAATAATGGATCTCCAGAATCATGCATTCAAATCACGTTGTGAATAACGCAACATGCTAATGCTATATATTTTTTTTCTCAAACTATATGAAGGCATATCTCTTAAAATTAGAAATCTTTTTTTCAATACCTCGAAGCATAGTTCTGTAACATTCCTTAATGACGAATGCAAGTGAAAGCACCCTAGTGCCACTAGGAAAGAGCCCTAGAGGGGGTGAATAGGGTTTATGCTAATTTAATCCGATTTATGCCAAATTAAAACTAATTAACAAATATCCTAGCAAATTAGATATGCAATACTTAATATGCAAGGATATGAACTAAGGGTGATATAAGCACAAAATAATATAAACAATGAGCAATTGACTAAGGCAATATGAATAATAATCATGAATGTAAAAGTGCGCCAATGCAATCACAAATAAATGATATGTTCACAGAGTTCGGTCTCCATGACCTACGTCTCCGCTCCTCACCTCGAGGAGATCTCCACTATCACAACCGGGTTTTTACGCTCACCCGAATAACATTTACACCTCACACTCGGTTTTCTAGTTCACCAAAAACTTTACAATCCACACTCTTGTAATCACACTCACTACCACCTCAAGTGTTGGTCTCTAGCCCGTGTCTCCCTCAAGTGTTAGGAATTACAATCTACCTCTAGGCATTACCACCTACCCCACTCCTCTTGGGACGATCCCGTCTCTCACCACACACTCCTCTCGGTGTACAAGTATATTACAAAGTATAACTCACAGTTTAGCTCACAATACAAATAAATTGTTTTCTACAATGGATGAGAACACAATGTAAGCTCGCACTCTAAGTCACTAACCCACAACCCCAATTATACAATGTATTCAAATATAATAATTTCAATAGGTTGTGTGTGAAACAAAGAGTAAATCAAATCAAACTAAACTCAAATAAATTCTAGCTTAATGGAAATAAATATCAAACATATAAAATAGCTAGATTAAGTTTAGAAAAACTTCTCTATATGATAACAAGAGAGAGGGAGAAGAGTTGAATGCTCAAATACTAATGGATGATCTCCTCTACCTCTTGTGAAATTATCTCCACAAACCGAAACTTGAAAAATGCTTAAAAGCTTTTTAAACAAACTTAAACCAAAACTTAAACCCTTATTAAAACACTCTTAAACTTGTTTAAAATATTTTCTTCATCTTTGCAGAACTGAGGATATGTGGGGGTATTTATAGGAACCCCAAAGGCAAGAGAAAACAAGGCAAAAAGACTAAAAACCCAAAACTAGAACATGCTGGAAAAAAACTAGCCGTTACAGCATCAGTCGATTGACGGCTTTCATCAGTCGACTGATGAGCTTTTCCAGCTCATCAGTCGACTGACGATCCTTTATCAGTTAACTGATGGATCATCAGTCGACTGGTCAATCGACCAAAACAAAACAATTTTTTTTTGTTATTCTAGGCGATTTCTTCAGTCGACACATTAGTCAACACATCAGTCGACTGACGTCATCATTCGACTTACCAGTCGACTGATAACAGGTTATCAGCCTGAATCAAATAGTAAAACTAATTTTTGAAGTGCCTTTAAAAATAACAAATAAATTTTAAAAAATATAAAACTTTGAAAAATGTTTATAAACATATTAATGAACATGTTACAAAAAGAATTTTTGGAATTGCACTTCATATTTGTGAAAAGTCATCATTTTTTAAAAACAAGTCCAAAACATAAAAATACAACACTTGTTTTGTCATTTTGACTAAATCATGTTTTGAAAACTTTACAAAATGATTTTATTGACTTAATAAAAGATGTATACAGGGAATGTTAAGTCTATAAATAATAATACATTATTTTCACAAAAATGTATATATAATACAAAACACATTTGTTTTTTTTCCAAAAACAATAGAATATAAAACATGAAAGTGTATATGAATATAATTATTATTTCATATCTACAAAGCTAAACTAAAATAAAACAATAAATATGAAATATGTAATTTCATATAAACATGAAAACCAAAAGCTAAAACGTGTATGTGTGTGTGTGTGTGTGTGTGTGTGTGTGTGTGTGTGTATATATATATATATATATATATATATGTATATGTATATATATATATATATATATATATATATATATATATATAAACCAATAAAATGTGTTTGTATATGATATTTAGCTTAAAGTACTAAACACACATAATATAAAACCTAAACTATTTACCCAAGTAATGATCTTGATATTCAATAATCACTTATTGGTAAACTTGCGGATGAAGCTTGAACTTGAATCTTTAACTTGAATTGCATTGCTTCACTCCACAATTCTGCCAACCTCCATTAGATATGATCGTGAATGCTCGATTCCATCCATCCTCTAACATATTATTTGTCTAGAATAAATACAAAACACAAATACTAGACAAACAATATTAGTTATAAATTGTTTGTTAATCATCATCAAAACAAAAAGACCTAACAATCTCCCCATTTTTGATGATGACAAACAATTTATAAAAAGAGATATATGCATGAAAGGAAATTAATATGTAAATTAGAATTATCATGCATATAACCAAAACAAGATATACTCACAATATTTCTCCCCATTTGACAACATCAAAAAGGGGAAAACAAAAGAATGAAGAGAGCGAAAGCTCCCCCTACAAATAAGCACGGTGAGTATAAAAATGAATATAGAGATTGCTCTCCCTATCAAAATGCCATATAGAATATATGCAATGAGTACCAAGGCAAATATGTGAGCACACATAAATAAAAAATATGCTAAACACAACTCACATACAACAAGACAATAAGAACACATATAAATATATCAATATGTAATAGTGTGTCTCAACACAAGCCTAAAAACTATGTATAAAAATAGATTTATTAAATCAAAAGAAAGAAGAACATGAGTGTCATGAAAAAAAGTTTTCAAATAAAAACAAATCACTCAAAATGAAATCATAAATCAAAATTTAAGTCATATGAAACCAAACCAATATTAAATTTTGTCATATTCGACAAAAAGCAAGAGAGACAACCAAATCAAGCTTTTAAGCTTGTTTCAACCCATATAAACATTTTAGCACCCGGTAAACAAGATTTGAGAATAAACACACAATAAATTCGGAGGGTTATATAAACACAAACCTCTCAAAAAAATCAAAACTAATAATCATAAAAACAAAAGAATTAATCAAAGAAAAATTGTTTTCATATCCAAAAAAATTTAAATTTTTTTTTCAAAACCAAGAAAATAAAAAAATAATAATAAGAATCTTGGTTTAAAAAGATTTTGGTACCCAAGTATTCTTGGTGTCGGATTATTTAGGGATATGACCCTTATCAATAAAGCTCAAATCCCTAGGGTTATGGACCCTCTTGGGCGCATGTAGTGCACGAACACGGTCAAAATAAAAATTGTGTAAATGACCTTTCCGATTGCAATAAGTCCAATGAAAGAGGCCTATTTGATTTTGTTGACCAAGTGGCGGTGCACTGGAATCATTTGTAAACATAGATAGTCTTTTAAAATTTTTTTGCAAATGAGAAACATTGTTAAACAAACATGGTTTATTTTAAAATTTTGGCAAGTTTGAATATTTTCTCAAATTAAAGCAAAACTTTGTCAAATGGTCAAATCTACCACAAAAATCACATTTAAACACATTAGCATACTTATGATAAACTTTATAATTATGAGCATAAATATGTATGTGTACATGAAGATGAAGCTTGATGGGATGCACAAGGAACATTAGATTTTGTGGGTTTACGTGCATCATAGCAAAATTTAGCAATGTGGTCTTTTTGGCCGCAAATGGAGCATTTATAAACTTTGCTATATATATGTGCATAATGAGTGGATGACTTTGCATTAGACTTGGCACACATATCCACAAGTTTATTATGATTAACAATGCATGAATTAAGAGTTGAATCTAATACGATTTTTAACATCATTCAACTCACTATTAGGCACATATGCATTAACATTAGAAGTAGAACATGTATGATCATTTCTTAAAGAATTAAACTCATTTCTAATATTCTCTACTTCTATATGACATTATTCTTAGCATGAGATAAGCTAAAAATGGATGAGGTCAATTTTTTATTTTTCAAATTTAACAAGTCATTGTTTTTTTTAAGCATGTTATTTTCTTTTGCAATGACATTAAATTTGGACACTAGCTCCTCATGATCGAATTTTAATGCAACATGCTTGTTTTTTAAATTAATAAAATTATTATGCAACTTAGTGTAGGCATGCATTAACCTATCATATGCACAAGCGAGTTCACTAATAGATGGTTCACTATCGGAATCGCTTACCACACTAGGGCTATCGCCTAGTGGTCGTGTGCATGATGAGGCTCCACATGAACTTGAAGAGAAAACCGCCAAAGCTTGTCGGATTGCCTCCAAGTTTTCTTGATGTGCTTCTATGAATTTTCACAATTTGTAATCACTATTAAATGAATCAATCTTGTTAGAAAAAGATGAATAAAAACATTTAGCAAATATTCTAACAAAATCTTGTTCATTGTAAATATTCTTTTATCATTTTTACTCCAATTGGATTTCTCCGAAGTGGGTACAATATAAACATTATCAATAATTTTCCATAAATTGATATATCCAGATCTAACAAATATATTAAATCTAGAGCACCATTGGTCATAGGAAAAATTATCTATTCTAGGAGTAACATTAGGATCATAGCCTAAACAAGGTGCACAATGCATGTCCATAATATCTATATGTATATGCAAGCAAGACAAATTCAATCAAAACTAGATTAGCAATAGAAGATAACTTGGATCTTTAACTCAAGGTGATTAAACCTTAAATCAAAGAGCACTAAGCTCTGATACCAATTGAAAATACCCTAGTGCCACTAGGAAATAACCCTAGAGGATGGGGGGGTGAATAAGGTTTATGCTAATCTAATCCGATTTATGTCAAATTAAAACTAATTAACAAATATCCTAGCAAATTAGATATGCAATACTTAATATGCAAGAATACGAAACTAAGGGTGATATAAACACAAAGTAATATAAACAATGAGCAATTGACTAAGGTGATATAAAATTAAGAGTAATATAAACACAAAGTAATATGAAACTAACAGACCATCTATAGCCCCTACACAATTCTGTCATGATATATATATATATATATATATATATATACACACACACTATTAGAACGATAGTAAAAAAATTCACATAATTAATGTAGGAAGGAATATATACATACCTTGAAATAATGATAATACTTTGTGGCATATGATATCTCTAGTGGAGTTGCATCATATGATAAAGGGACAATCACATATTTGGTTAGAGAGCAAATTGCATATAGGACCTTCTTAAAATATGTAGAGATTGTCTCTAGTGAGTGCTGAAAATGATCTGCGGCCATACCTTGGCGTTCATTATGAGAAAACACAAATAAAAAGATTGCTACTTGTTCTTGAATCATCACGTTTCTAGAATGTTTTAATTTTCCAATTCTCTTTAACTCTTCACAAAGGTTAATAAATGCTTCTTTTTTCATTCAAAAGAGGTCAAAACAAGTACCCGGGTGACCACCTAGAACCTCAATCACCTAATCATGCCCACTTAATTTTGAAATCCTTTGTGGTCGAGGCTGCTCCATAAAAGATCCATTAAACTCCATAAATGCATGAATAGTCAATAATACTTGAAATTGCTCCTCATCTGAATTAGAGTCTGAATCAGATTGTGATGATAGTTGATAATCATTTGTATCTGTATTGCCATCCATATCTACAAAGTATAATAAAATTTAACACAAATACACATGTCAACAACATAAACAAGTATAATAAAATTTAACACAAATACACATGTCAACAACATAAGGCATGAATAAATTTACATAAGGCATGAAACACGTCAACATGTATAAACAAGTATAATACTAACAACGTTATGGAAATACACATATATAGGTTCAAAAACTAACACAAATACACCCAAAAGTCTTCAATCTACTAGAACACAAGCATAATTTAAACACACACAAAAGTCCTCGACCTACTAGGGCTGCGGCGACGGTGTTAGGGTTGAGGATGCGTCGACGGGGGTTAGGGTTGAGGTTGCGTCGGCGGGTCGCAGGCTGCACCGACCGGGTCGGAGGCTACGGCGATGTCGGAGCTGCGTTGGAGCGTCGTATACTGCGCTGACGGGTCGGAGGCCTGCAGCGATTTGGAGTGCGACGGTATTAGGGTTGAGGGACAGAAAAGGGGAGCGGGTTGGTTTGGGAAAAAATGAGACACGAGAATCTCAAAACACCTTTTAGGTGTTTTGAGAAAACTGTATCTTCTGTATTTTGTGAAGGGGCAGCTCAAAAAACACATCAGTTCCCAAACGTGGTTATATGTTTTTTTGAAAAAAAAACGAAAACGGGACAAACACATTGGTTGCCAAACACTACCTTAGTACCTCAAAGGATGTTGCCTGAATTGGGTAACAAGCTAATTGCTAATGTTTATAATTTCCTTAATTATGGCCTAAAGTTATCGCAACTTCCAACTGTAACAAAGTTTTTTTTAACTTCTTTTGGTAACAGAGGGGGCCATAGTAGCCCAAAGAAAAGAAAAAGTACATCACACACGATCGTGCCATAGAAACGCCAAGTACATCACAAAGTTGTAAACTATAGAAAAATGATACAGGCACACCCTCAGACATACCACCAACCACACCTCCTCTCTATCTACAGTGCAGGGGGCCCACATCAGATTTTAAAAAAAAAAACTAATGTGAGGCCCCCTACACTATAGATAGAGAGGGGGTGTGGTTGATAGTGTGCCTGAGGGTGTGCCTGTAGCTCCTCCCTAAACTATAACCATGACCATGAATACTTAAGAAAAGCAGTGGCATGACAATTAATTAGCCAAGAGCCTAAGACTTGGATATCAGTAACATGCCAACTACAGTACTTTCTGTACGGAAGAGGTCTGTTAGTTTGGGTCCTTTCAAATACAATTTTAGGGCTACTATCGAATGTACATTTATTATCCAACAATCAGATAACGAGGCCAACATTGGACGCCCTCCCATGTCATTGATTGACAGACGCTGAAAGCACTGATGAGGATCATGAGGGATGGAGATTTGTCGAGGGGAATTATTAGAAGGACAAATTTTCATAATAGATCCGTTTAGAAACTTATTTGTAAAAAGTAACCTATTTTGAAAATATTTATCAAATTTGGTTGAAAACGGGTCGAATTTGGTGAAAAAATATCAAAACTTCACGGGATTTCAAATCCCGTGAAGTTTAAGCCCCCCATTAGCAACCTAATTAGGGAAGCCAAACCTTCATGGTAGTCCCGTGAAGCTTATAACTTCACGAGACTTCAAGTCCTGTGAAGCTTCAGGCTGAATTCCAGAGAACATCGTTTTTTGGAATTTAGATGCTCTCTGGAATTTAGCCCGTGTAGTTAGGGTAGGGCCTATATAAGGCACACACGATTTCTTATCGCGTTTACCCGACAACAGCCCACTCTCTCTCTCTTCTCCTTCACTACCAAAACCAAACCCTAGACCTTTTCTACCGCCGCCGTCACTGCCACCGCCCCTGCCGCTGCCACATTAGCCAACCGTCACCGCCGCTGATCGATCCTGCCGCCGTCACTGTCGGAGTTCACCGAAAATTAGGGCATCGACAAATTTTAGGTAAAATCTTTAAAAAATTTTCCTCCTAATTTTTTTATATATTCTCACTATTTCATGCTAATAACTTGTTTAAATTCTGATTTTTAAATATGTATGAATTTGTGAAGAAAAATTTAAAAAAATTGTGTATGAAGTTGGAGGGGAAATTATCGAAAATTGTAAACGTTGGTGTATTATGAAGGTTTGACATTTAATTAAAATTTAGGATGTCTAAAATCGATATTAGAGGATTTAATGGTAAATAATATTTTTTGTGTTTTTCTTGTAATATTGGTATTGGATTTTTTTTACTCTTTAGAGGTAACGATGAGCGATCGAATCATAATTTTTTGTTCATATGATGAACATGTTAACTATCTCGAGAATAATATGCACGTATATGAAGGGGGTGTGATGAAGTCGTTGTTTATATCAAAATCATGTATTTTTGATAAATTGGTTAATGACTTACACAAACTTACATTAACCAATCCACGTGACTATCACCTCAACGTTATTTGCAATTATCCTGTTACGGGGAACAGAACAAGTGGCATTCAAATCTCAAGTGACTACGATATGGGTCTTATTGGAATATTGCATGACGTCAAGTGTACACGTGACGATGTAGGACATGTCAAACGTGGCGCGTGATGATGGAGTTAACACTTCTCACAGCACGACACATGCTGATGGAGCCGACACTTCTCAGTCTCATACACAACCAGGTAATCAGATCACCGAGACTCATCAGCATGGACAGAGGGGATGTGGATTGGGGGGGGGTGAGGGGAAGGGGGTAAGAGAGGGAAATGAAGGAGAGGAGGACTTTTGGGATGTATGTGAAATTTAATAGTATGATTATGAATTTCAAGAATGATATGGTTAGATTGTTCAAATTTGTTACTTTTGTGGATCAATTATTGTTTATATATGTGATTTTCATATGTATTGTTTGATTCATGGTTGAATTTTATAAATATTGTTGTAATTTAGTATATATGTGATTTTCGTGTGTATTTTTTTGATTCATGTATATTGTTCTCAATGATGCGAAAATTTCATGTATATTATCATGAATGAGACGGAAATATTCATGTATATTGTTGTGAAATTTTTTCATGTTTATAAAAAAACATGCACACATTCTGTGCATGTTTTTTGAAACCTGCAACTCCATGGGACTTCAAGTCCCGTGGAGTTGTAGGCTAAATTCCAGAGAGCATCGTTCTCTGGAATTCAGCCTGAAGCTTCATGGGACTTGAAGTCTCGTGAAGTTATACGCTTCACGGGACTTCAAGTCCCGTGAAGCTTTGGCTTCCCTAATCAGGTTGCTAATGGAGGCTTAAACTTCACGTGATTTGAAATCTAGTAAAGTTTTTGATGTCTTTCGCCAAATTCGACACAGTTTTAGCTAGTTGGCTGAAACTGGATCGAATTTGGCAAATATTTTTGAAATATATTGTTTTTTGCAAATAAGTTTCTAAATGGTCTATTTTAAAAATTTATCCTTATTAGAACATAGAAAAATTAAAAATAAAATAAAAAGATACAAAATGCTGAAATTACGCAATGCTAAAATTGCGCTCTGTAATTTTTTTTGTAATCTACTTTAATTTGTGACAAGGAGGATTTGAATCCTTGTTATTCTGATGCAATGTCTAAGGTCTCTATTGATGCACCAAAACTTCGAAGCTATCAATGCACCAAAACTTCGAAGTTTGTGGTGATGGTTGTAGTTTTATACTATTAACAGTGTATGTATCTAAGTGTTTATTAAATACTCTTTTGATCCATTCATCCCAATAGATGTAGTAGGCAAAGAGAACACAAGTAGATTAACAAATCTACTCTTATTTAAGGTATTCAGACGTCCACATGTCCTATATATCTATGGCCGATTGCCCTTTACTATTACAACGATTTGAGAGATTATTTCACCAATAGGAATGTTAACGTACACTTGGCCAAACTTTATTACAAATTATTTTTGAAATATCTTTCTTACTACACAGTTCCTGAATATATCACGCTAGCAAAAGCACATGAAGCAAATAATCTGCAATGGAGCAGGCCCATGTTTAAGCTTTCTTGCCAGCTACTGCACAGCTTCCAGAGTTGTTTCAAATGACTTGTTGATGCAAGATACAAGAAGTTCCAAATTTATGAGGTCTCTCTCTGCTCCTATGGCCACCCTCACCATCCCCATGTAACTTAAAGTAGTAGCCATAAGACTCTACAGTCAATACATAAAATACATAAGCAAAAGGGAAACATAAATTCGATGAGCTTCAGTAAAATGAGTGGGTAATTTTACCTGTGGTGAACGTCATGACATGAAGTAGAAGCCCTTGCACGGGTTACCAGCAAGCAGGAACTGTTCTGTTGGCCCAGTAACATTAGACATTGCGATGCTTGTATTGATTATTGTATTGTATAGGTGCCTAGAAACAGCCTACACCAACATGAACATTATTTACTGATCACCTCCGATAGCCGATCGCGACAATCCTATCAGGTTAACAATCACCTCTGATAGTCGACACCGTCGTTCCCACTAATGGCATTGTCCAATCGGTCGTCACACTCATACGTCCCTGAACGGCCTGATCCATTCCGAGCGTTCTAATATCCTTAGAATAATCGATGGGTAGCAACCTACCATGTGATGGCTTCTACAACAATCAATCGTCACACTCATACGTCCCTGAACGATTTGATTCCCCCAACACCGTCATTCCCGCAAATGACGTTGTTCGTCTATATCGGCCTACCAAGCCACTGTGCCATATCGACCCCCTATTCCGAGCAACAACCCGCCAAGCGGCGAGTTTTTATTCAGATCCTATCTTAGTCGCACACGATGACCGTTCACGTTGAACTAAGTTGTTGGATAGTAGGTTCCTAATCTGTTTTGGTAACATGTTATTAGGATTCCTAATCTATTTTGGTAATATGATTCTTAATCTGTTTTGGTAATAGCTTATTAGGATTCCTAATTTGTTTTGTTTTTGGTTTTAGAATTCCTAGTCTGTTTTGATTTTAAGTTTTCTATATATATGAAACGCCTTAGAAGAAATTAGGATTATCAAAAAGAGGAGAGT